TTTTTTTTAAGTTCTCCACTGGAATCCCCTTTATCCTACATCAAATTTGGTATCAGAGCCAAAACCTGGTTTTCATCAAAATGCTACTTAACTTTACATTCTACAACATCTGCAAACAAGTCGATCTGGAACTCTTGTTGTCTTCTTCCACCAAGGGTCCGTGAATATATTGATCTACACTCTTAACCAAAAGTAATCACTTATTGAAAATTGGATTCAACAAATTGCCATGGAAGTGAAGAAAAGTTCGGAAGAAAAACGAAGATTTCAATTTGCATTAGATGTTGCACCTTTACCCACCCGTTCCAATATTTGAACCCAGTTATCCAAACCCTATTACACCACAAGCCACACTAACCTGGCAATTAAATCTCATTTTGGCCCACTACCATACAATTAAATACATACCTAACTCAATCCCAAATAATTGTCCATTATCCTAAACCCTAAATATAAATTCAATAGTCACAACTCACTACCTATTGGCACATTACCTGGTCCAATTCACAACAATTATCCCATCTAAACCATAATTATTGCCAATAGCAATAACCAACATAAACTATCATCAACACATCCGTGACCACATACAAAATTATCTACATTTACAAGCATAAAATTCTAGCATTATTTGCAGTTAATCTTTTACTCCAGTTCAACAAACAAGAATGGGAGTTACTGTTTTATTTATCTTTGGTTTATATTGCCGTTATTCTAACATTGTATCAGTTAATTTTTCTGTGCTATTGTTATTCTAGTTTTACCTAAAATCGCATGATTGAATTCATTGACTTTGTTAAATCTCCACTTTACTGTACTTATTTTACGTGTTGATATTTTTTTTATTAGTATTCGACCCTCGCTTTGTTATTTTACATATATCAACAATATTAGTTTGTCATATTTGGATTTATTTAATCCTAAACTAAAAAAAAGAAGAAGCTCAAATTGTTATTTTCCATTGCTTGCACTTATTTTTCATTGATCTCTCAATTGTACGTCATTTAGCTGCTAAAACAGTGCATGCAATATACAGTGATCGTCTTGTCACTTTTATTTTCAGTATCTTAACCATGGACCCCTCACAATTTGATGCACTTACCCATCAAATAGCAGCTATCCAAATTCAAATGATTGCTACTCTTGAAGAGAGTAGGGGCCTAGCTGCTAGTCTGAACAATTTTAAGCAAATATCTCATTTGACTGATGTTAATACTTCTAAAGTGTCCCATAATGGATAATATCGTTGTTGATGAGGTGATTAAAAATATTTTCAACACGATTGTAGGGATATGGATCATGTTTGTGAGCGAGAACGAAGTTATGACGGTCCTAATACTCATTCTCTTCCTCGTTATAAGAAGCGTTTCTTTAGAACATTAAAGTAGATGCTCCAACTTTTGATGATTGTTTAGATTCTAAAGTTTTTACTCAATTGACTGCCAGAATTGGCCATTGATTAAGTACATCGCTCAATTTGATGAATTTAGAATGAAATATCATGTCATTGAGGATAAGGCCATAACTTTGCACAGGTTTAGACAAGGTCTAAGATATGATCTTAGGTGTGAGCTTTTCGTTCGGGGTGTTACAACTCTTGATCAATCTTACTCTTTAGCCCGAGATTATGACTTGGTTATCGTA